CCAAGACATTTTTATATTGAGATGCCAAGACCCTGGACTTAATAGTCCGGGATCTGCAGTGACACCACAGACCCTGTGAAAGCCCCAGTCTACATGCCCTTGGGGCCACAGACAGCACCAGGTCACTTCAACCAACACCCTGCACCATATTCCCAAGGCCGAAGACACTCACCTTCAATCTGCTCTCCTAACGCCTCTCTCCAGGTCTCAATGATGAGTGAGAAGGTACCCTGGGTAGGTTGGGGGACGGGAAGAGGAAGAAATAGAAGACATTGTTCAAGGCAAGGACTCATTGAAGGCCAGAGGTCAGGGGGTGAAGAGTGGTGAGGGCCAGTTAATTCCCAGAGGTACTGGCCCGGGAACAGACTGGACGTCGTGGCTTGCTTTTTTGAGCACTGTGTACTATACGCTTCATCCAAGATACCTGGTTGATCTCCTCACAGGGGACCCCTGTAAGGTACTTGATAATCCCCTTTTACAGATGAGGAAACTGAGGCTGGGTCTAGAATTCAAATACAAGTCTGTTCACCTCTGTGCTTTGGGGGTTGTGGGGACCTGAGACAGGATTTGGGAGGTAAAGGAGTCAGGAATAGAGGCCCCAATTAGGAGAACTGAGGAGGGATAAAGTGAGATTGGGGGTCCTCAAGGCAGGATGGGGAGGGTTCTAGGTGCAAGGAAATGTAGGGATAAAGATGAGGATCCCACTATTTAGGGCTTTCCCAAGGAGCAGAAACAGAGTAGGGTTTCCAGAGGGTGAGTTTGGAGTTGGGGGATTTGAAGTCATCGGCATGCAGGGTGGGGGCAGAGCAGTTGAAGTCTCCAGCGAGTGGGGTTTAGGGGTCTGAGAATATGCAATGCCACGTGGTAGAGGTACTGTTCTGGGTATTTAAGGGGAGATCTTGGAAGGTAGAGAATGAGGAAAGGAGATTTGGGTGGAGGGTTAGCTTCCAGCACCGTGTGTACCCCTGGGCCTGGTCTCACCGGCCAGGCTTCGCGGAAAGGAACGCGCATAAGGCCGTCAGGCAGCGGCAGGTCAGACGTGGGTGGTCCGGATTGCCGGCTGTAGATGGGCCCGCGCGCGCTCAGGGCTACGCCCAAGGCGCACGGGGACTCGGCGGCCTCCTCGGAGACCCCTGGCTTCAGGCAGACCCGGAAGAAGAGACGGCAGGGGCCCCGGGCGCTGCACGGAGACCGCACAACACTGGGGCCAGGGCCCGGCCCGAAAGAGTGGATCTGCAGCTCGAAGACGCCGGCCGGCCGTGCCTGGGGCGGAAAGGGGCTCAGGGTGAGGGCGCCGCGGGATGCAGGCGTCGGGTCAGCCCCGCGCCCCCTCCCCAGAACCCCGGTCGCCCCCCACAGCCCTCATCATAACCCTCCCTTCGTCTTTCATCTCCCGCGGGTCTCTGACCTGGGGGAGGAAAAAGAGTGCCAGGAGCAGGGTCCGGAATAGGAGCCGGGGCTTCGGCGGGGCAACCATGGCCTTTGCGGGGTCTCGAGAGTCGCAGCTGCTGGCCCTGGAGCCTTATATCCGAGGGGACGGCCCCGCCCCTTCGGGCAGCCGCGCGTCTCCGGGGGACTCGAGGGGAGGGGGCGCGGGGATAGAGGCCCCTGCGGGCGCAGCCGTGAGATTGTGTGTGTGGTCGTGGGCACGGGCGACGTCGTGAGTGTGTAATTCCGGGAGAGTGTGCGGCTCGGGCCAGAGTTGAGCCTGTGTGAGATTGTTAATGGTCTCAAGATCTCTGTGTAGTGTGTGTGAATATGTGGTGGAAGCGAGAGCTACTGCAGTGTGGGCATGACTCCGTGACTGTGTGTTTTCGCGAGACTGTGTAGTTCAATGTGTCTGGAATTGGTGGTTAAGCCTGGTCCTGAGGTTTTAAGTAGTCATTCTAAGATGCTGTGTGTGGTCTGTGCAGGTGCCTCTAGGTGGCAGGTGCCTGTAGGTGGCTGTGGGTATGTCTGTGCGTGTGATAAGGGGCAATGCGAGGTCGTGACTGACTGAGGGGTGTGTGTAACCCATCCTGGTGTATTTACTGAGGGACGTGGTGGGCGGAGGTCCATGGGTGCAGCCCTGTGTGGTTACGATGAGGATGTGGGGTTCTTTGTGGACGTGTATGTGTGTGCTCGTGTGTGTTCCCCACCCCCATCCCCAAGGCAAAGTCGCCCCGCTAACGCCGCTTCACGGACGCACCAGACGCTAGGGCAGAGGAGCCCCTGCCTCAAAAGGGGCTCCCAGCTGTATGTAAATGTCGCCATCTGCCGGGCGGCCGCACCCCTCCCCCTCCGGGTCGCAGCTGGGCTGCCCGTTTGGTCTCCGGAAGGTGTGAGGAGCAAATGGGCAGGAAATTCCATCCTCACATACCAGGGCCTGCTCCCACATCCCAGGACGAATGGAGGAGGGCACCCCTAGACTCTCCAGAAGCCCCTTAGTATTCCAGGGCCACAGCAAGGAAATGGAGCTCGGAGCAGGTGTTCCAGCCCTCTGCTCCAAATCCCCGAGTCTGTGCCAGGCGCTGAGCAAAGCCCCTAGATAAAGTCAAAGCACTAATTTGTAGAATTTAAATAAATAAATACTTAGAAACTAACGATTATAGGAGAAAAATATATGTCCAACTGACCTTTTTCTTTTGGAGGAGTAAGACTGGAAGATCCATCAGGCACAGCCCAGCACAGCCACAAGGTGCTCGGTAATTTTTGAATGAAAGAGACCAGAGGTATACAACAATCTAGTTTTCTTAGTCCCGAGGACTCTGGGTCCCAGCAGGGCTTTGTGCAGGGGAGGGCCGGGTCCACGGCATACACCACTCCACAATCCCTCTAATTGAACAATTCCCTCCATTCTCTCCTCCAACTCAGACTTCACACCTCCGGACAGCCCTCCCTGCACCTCCCAAGGGGATCGAGCACCTACTTGGAGCAATTGCCACCCCCTGCACTTCCGCCCTCCCAGCCCCAACCCCTCTGCCTGTACCTCCTCCATCCAGCTCTGACTCCTCTTGGAGTCTTTCTAAAGCATAAACCTCACCATGGGTCCTCCTCCGCTTTCTCCCTGACTTAGGTGCTGTGGTTTCCCAAGGTAGAGTCAGATCTCAAGGGGTCCACACTGGGTTAGGTGGCAGAATGAACACCTCACCAGAGAATAGGAGATAGACAAAAAGAATTTGTGTAGCTGTTAGAACCAGCTGGGGGGGGGGGCGGTGAAGCCCTGCTCTGGAAGCCTGCTTCAGAGCATATCCAGGTGGGAGCTGGCTCAAACTTATCACACACACAAGCCAGCCTTCTCTGAGGCCCTGCCAGGCAGACAGTGCTTCCCAAGGAGGTACGTTTCTGGCGTGAAGTGCACCCACCTTAAGGAGTTCTAGGTATCCTGTTAGCTATGCAGGACTTTGCTTGTACGCCCACTGTAGAACACACAGGCCCTTGGACTAAAACGGGCCTGTATTGGGTGCCAGTCACCCTGTTGAGTAATGTATCCATTTATGACACCACTCAGTAATTACAGCAGTGGTTGGGAGCACCTCCTCGCTCAACCCTAGGCCTCCACCAGAGCCTGTCAGTTGTCATCTCCGGCCTGGACTGCACGGCAGCCTCACCACCTCTTGCCCTGCCAGGTGGAAACCTCCCTTCTCTGCTGAGGAGCCCTGGGCTCCAGCTCATGCCAGGCAAAAGGGCAAGTCCTCACTGTGGCCCACAAAGCCCAACACAATCTGCTCCTGTCACCTTTCTGCCTCAAGTCCTTCCGTGTCCCTGTCACTTACCTGCTCTAGCCAGAGGCCTCTGTGCTGCTCCTTGATGACCAAGCTCTGGGCTCCCTTGGGGCCTTTGCATTGACTATTCCCATCACCTAGAGTATTCTCTCCCCCTAAACATAGCCCTTCATTCCACAAATATTGAAGACGTACCTAGTAACCACCAGGCACAGAAAGACAAAAATCTCTGCCTTCATGGCATTCTCATGGGAGGAAGAGAGTAGGTGAAAATGTACCACATACATCTTATTGCATTTCACAGGAACGTCGTTTTTCACAAATCCAAGGTTTGTGGCAACCCTGCAGTGAGCAATCTACTGGCACCATTTTTCCAACAGCATGTCTTCACTTGGTCTGTGGCGCCTGGTGATTCTCATAGTTATTTCAAACTTTTTCATAACACTATGACATACTTAATAGATTACAGTATAAACATAACTTGTGCACTGGGAAGCCATGTGACTTGCTTTATTGTGATACTCGCTTTAATGCGGTGGTCTGAAGAATCTCCAAGGTCTGCCTGTGTCTGTGCTCAGATGGTGGTTAAGTGTAAGGCAGGACAGATCAAAGTCAGGGGGATGGGGTGCACTGGGAGATTACAGCATTCACAGGGCAGTCAGGGCTCACACCCAAGCAAAGACCAGAGGAAGGAAGCCAGCCAGACACCTGACAAGAATGCTCCTAGCAGAGGCATCAGCCAATGCAAAGCCTGGTCCACAAACCCTCGGGACTCCAGGCCTGCTCCAGACCATTGAGACAACCCTCTGTCACACCCAGGGTGCCAGGTTTTCATTCTTCTTTGTAGACACCTGTGAGCCTTTTCAAAAATCTAGATTTCAGAGGTGCATTGTGGTCCACACAGCTTCAAATAAATTTTAATTAATATAGCAAAGAGCAGAGCTGTTTTTTTTTTTTAAATATTTCACTGGTACTAGCACCAGATGTTGGCTGGAACATCAGGGGGACCTGGGCAGATGACAGTTCAAGTCAAACTAACACAGGATATTTCAGTTTGTTCAGTAATCAATAGGCCTGGTAACAAGGCCCACATTTAGACAGATTAGTTAGCTAGACAGACAGACAGACGGTAGACTGAGTCTGGACATGGGATATTCTATTACTTCTCACAAGCACTCGGCTAAGATAGGTCCCATTATACTCCCATTTTAGAGATGAGGCAATTGAGGCAGGGAGGTGCGTGCTTTGCCCGAGGTCCACACAGCTACCTTTTGAGTACCTCACATGGCAGTGCCTCTCTTAATCCTAAGGCCTCTCCTATGACGTAGGCACCATCACTTCACAGATGTGGAAACTGAGGCACGGATGGGTAATTTGCCCAAGGTCACAAAGCCAGGAAGCTGCAGAGCTTGGATTTGAACCTGGGTAGTCCGGAGCCCATACACACTCCTGCTGTCCAACGCGGGAGCCAGGAGCCACCTGTGGCCATTTAAAATTAAATAAAACTTAAAATTCTGTTTTGTCAGTCACACCAGCCACATCTCAAGTGCTCGATATGCCGTACGGGACAGCACAGACACGGCACGGAACCCACCACAGCAAAGGTCTGCTGGATCCACCGCCACCGTCTGCCTGTTTCAGTCAGGAGCCGACAATGAAAAACTGGGAGATTTATCTTTAAAAATCCCTATTTTTAGCTTCCACTAACAATGTCAGAAGACGAAACTCAGGCCCACCTTCCCATGGAGTGACAGCTGGGTTGTGATGGGGACATCTCTGGTCCACGAGAGCCCCCACGAGCCCACTTCACAGATTCACACAGTAGCCTGGTGACTACCTATCTTCAAAACCCGGGGTGCTGACCTTGCCTCTCTCATCCACAGATGGAGAATCTGGGGCCAGTGGGGGAGATGCATTTTTTTTTGGCAGATAACACACAGCAGGGACTAATCCAACAAAGCACCCACTCTGTGCTGAGCAGCCCATCAGCCACTGAGAGAGAGAGGGACAATGACCCCAGAGTCCCTGACCTCACCCCGACACCCCCATCTGGAGACTCTCTGGACACAGGAGTTGTGGCGTCTGGGATGGACTTTATTGGACATGTGGCTGGCTGTCCCCTTCTTAGGTCTGAGAGTCCTGGGGCAGGGACCCAGGCAGTGAGTGTGAGGCGGCCCAGGGAGCAGGGCTATTTGGAGCGAGGCCACAAGCGGCTGGTGAGAGAGCTGAAGAAGAGCTTCTGTTTGCTGGACTTGGACAGCTCAGCCAGGCGCTGCTGCTCCTCCTGCCGCAGGTGGACAGACAGACACAAGGAGGGTCAGCCCAGGTGGGCAGAGCTTCCTCCCTAGACTCCCAGCCCCCTTTCCCCAAACATGCAGGAGTCCAGCTTATACACAGGAGGACCCCAGGCTCCAGAGACCCAGCCCCAACATTGGCCAACAGGCAGCTCCAAGTCACAGGAGCCCGACTCTGATGTTTGCGGGATGTCAGACCCCAATCCCAGGCACTCAGGGTCTCCATCCCTGAGCCTCAGCAACTCCTTGGGCCCCAAATTCATGATTCCTAGGCCCCAGGATCCCTGCTGGGCCAAATCTCTAGGAACCCCTTCTCTGGACACTCAGGAACACAACCAGTAGCTCCAGAAACACAACCTAGAATCTGGTCATACTGAGCCTACACCCTGGGAATCTCATCTCTAGACTCAATTCATACCCTTGGCCCTACTTCCAATTTACCAAGGTCCTACCAACACCATCAGAATTCCTTCTCCAGA